CATCCAAGGTTACATCACCGATGAGGCGAGGTGGCCGACCGAGCGACTGCTCCCTTTCTTGGGCGCGGTGCATGGAGAGTCGAACCCAGCGAACGGACACCCCCCGCGCGTCCCATGGGACGGGCAGCGCGCCGCAGCAGCCAGGGTGGTCTCACACCTGGCGGGCAAGTGCCAGAAGTACAAAGAATAATGGGCTCGCTATGCAGACAACCTTACTGACCAGAAGGGGCATTGCCCCTTCCGACAGCCGTTCCACATCCTCCTGGCCTTCCTGACAAGGCTGGAAGGCACCGCGCTGGCCAGGGGCACAATCACCCACCTCGCCGCCCTGCCCCGCGAGACGGCAGCTAGCAGCCCAGGCGGGGATGAGTCGCCAGCAGCCAACTGGCTCAACAGGGGTCCACCAGCAGCAAGGAACTCCCCGCTTTGGACCGCCGAGTGGAAGCGCAAGGAGCACCCCCGACCCGCGCCGCCGGGACACCCCCACAGCCTGCCGAGGCTGACAGGATTCACGTACCCCAGGCAGGGGGACAAACCCCACTTGGGGCCTTGCAAGGGCGAGGGCGACGTGGAAGGGGTTGACTGGGGAGACGAGGGGGGCAGGAAGCCCGAGTCCGACGTCTACGCGCACTCGAGTCCGCATGGCATCTCCGTGGACTCGAGCTCGCAAGTCAGCCCCACTCACCCCGAGGATGACCAAAGTGACACCGCTCTCCCCGAGGATGACAAAGGGATCCCTGGCCCCCTCCAGCTCTGGGAGACACCACCCGACAGGACCCACTCAGAAGCCTGGTCCCCATATGTACAGGCTGTTTCCAGGGAAGCAGCCCGAGATGGGAACGCCCCAGGCGACATTCGAAGTAGGGATGACCGGATCCGGAGCATCAACGACGCCCGGGGCAACAGGTCTCTGAGACGTGCGGATGGCGATGGTGGCCGGCGACCACCCGCGAAGGATAACAACAGGGTCAGGGAACCCCCGGCCACCCCACCCCCAAGCGACCCCTCCGCAGCCGCGCGCCACCCAGGCCTCCTGGAATGACATGCGGGGAGCGCAGCCACCCGCAGAACACCCTGACGACCCCATGGGAGGCGCCCCCATGTATATTTGCCCGGTTGACGAAACGGACGTCTCAAGGGACGAGCCGGCACAAGGCGAAATCTCACGTCTGCAGAAGACGCTGGGAGGTGCGTTCAACGGAGTTTGGGGCGCCTCGGTCAGGAGGGCAGCCGCGAGGCAAGGGAGCTACTGTGCCAAGCTTGATCCCAAGCTCAACTCCGTGCAGCAGTGCAACGAGTTCCTCCAGGCATGGAGCAAAGCAGAGTTTGATGCCTACAAGATGGACAGAGAGTTCAAGCTCCGCGTCGTCTGGTCGAGTGTCAAGGACCGATACGGCAGGCTCCTGCAACGCGACGCCAGACCCCACGCCTCTCGCGGGGCCGACGGCAGCGGCCGCCCCTCCCCTCGGACCACAGCGGGCAAGGGGGCGGCACATGCGGTCCCGCCAGATCAGTGGACTGGTGCATCTAGCTCAGCCTCTTCGTGGCGTGGATGGCAGTCATGGGGCTCGTGGGGGCACCAAGGTACGTCGTGGACCGAGACAGACTGGAAGGCGAAGGGCAAGCGTTACTCGCCCAGAGGAGATGACCCATACGCTGACAAGCGTCCCCGAGGTTGGGACTCCTGACCTAGATGACGGGGACGCAAGGAGGGGCCCGTTCTGGGGTGGCCCGCCCCCCAGCGCGGCGGCAACTTCCGCCGTCGTTGGCGCCCTCACCTCAGGATTGCCCGCAACGTTGGCTCTGGCCATCTCCCCAAGGGCTCCAGCCGTGGTGGCGCCTCCCTCGGTGGCAGTCAGCGAACCGGCGATCGCTGCGGCCCACCTCCTGTATCACCTATCGTGCAGCCTGTTGTGTGCAGCTCGCGCCATCTCCCACCCCCCCTCGGTTCCACTCCGCCCGGCATTCGCCGCGCGCCCCCCCTCTAGGACAGTTTCACCTGCAGCGCCCGGCCTTGGCCGCAATACCCTGTGCTACCTCCGCTGGGGCGGAGGGGCACCAATGCCATATCGCTGCTCAGATAGACAGCCCACGCTGGATTCGTGGACCTTGCCAGGCTTCTCCTCCCCTGCGGCCGACTGGGGCGTCTTCGTCTGCCGCGCGGGGCCACGGCCGCAGACGCCCGCGACGGAGGCCACTGCTTGCGAGGGCTCCGGGGTCGCATGCAGTCACCCCCCCCAGGCCCCGCGCTCCCGCTGTCCACGACGGCCATTGGGCGGCAGTGACTGGTGGCTGAAATAACCCACCTCCTGCGCTCCACCTCTTTCGCAGCCACTTTGGGCGGCAGTGGTTGGTGGCTGAAATAGCCCACCCCCTGCGCACCACCTTCTCTGCCTATCCGTGTGCAGCCTCACCCTCCCGTGGACAAGAGGTGCAGTGCATGGGTGCCCTGTGCGAGGCATGGAGGCCACGCTGGCCGCGTCCTGTACACCCTTCATGGGGACAGGCGCGTTCGTCACGCAGTGGCGCAGCACCCCCCGCCAAGACGCCCCCGTTCCTGGAATGAGTTGTCACGGGCGGCAGTGCGGCCGCCGGCCACTTCCCATTTTAATATGTGTCCAGCGGCTTTTGGCTGCGCCCCCTCCTTCTCCTCCTCCCCTCATTGGCACTCGTCTCAGCGGCTTTTGGCTGCGCCCCCCCCCCCTGCCCAGCAGCGCCGTCGCATTGCGCCGGCCGCAGAAGCGCGTCTGCGCTGCCCAAGGAACAGCGGTCCTTCCTTCGTCGCCGACCCGGCCATGGTTCTACTAGAAGGACGTCTTGGCCCGCCGTCGGCGCACCGCCAGCGAACGGTGCGGCCCAGCAGCTCTACAGCTGCCAGCCATCGGTTCGCCCTGGCGTCGGAGGTATTTGGCTTCTGCACGGGCAGGGTGGCAGGTGTTGAGTGGGTGCGGCTGTCCGCCATGCACGTGGTGATTGGCTTCGTCAAAGTGAACAGCCCCGCATCGAGTGGTTCAGCTTTCTGCGGTTCGAGTTCGTCTCGCTCTTCTCGGCGCAGCCGCGGCCCTAGCCCTCGTCAGTGTAATTGCATCGTCGGATGCGATGTAAGCGCACAGGCTGCCGGCTGGAGGTTGCTCAGCCTCGTGAACGCACGCCAGTGGTCTGCCTCTTACTGGATGGTGCTCTGGCGCGGATCAGCCACACCTCAGCTTCAGTGAGCCTTGGTGAGTCGGGTCACCCTCGCCGCATCATCGTATGCTCGTGGAGCTGCAGTGAGTCTGAGTTAGTTGCTCTCGCTCGCGCCCACCCCCCTTTTTCCGATGTCTTGGACGGCCTGGCTCAGTGTGCACACGCGTGGGTCCCGTCTGGTCATTGGCCGCTCGGACTCGCTCTCTGCCCGCGGCTTATTACAGTGTCTTGCTGTCCGTCTTGGCCTCGCTTCCGATTGCGGTTCGGCTGGAGCTTGGCGCCGCAGGGGCGACTTCTCCCCCCGTTCCGTTGCCGCCGCGTTGCCGCGCCTTTTGCTTCCCCACCAGCCAGGCTGTCTGGGCCGGTCACCAGCAAACGCTGAAGTTCGTCTCGATGAGGGGCATTTTGTCCCTGGCATGCGCATGTGCCGCTGCGTGTGTTGTCCGCTGGAATCCGCGGCAATCTCGCGCAAATTATCTACGTACCGCGCCCCGGACGTTGTGCTCGCTCCCTGTCTCTTGCCTTGAAGCCGCGAACCAAAAAAGTATCCCCACCAGCCCATCCAGAAACGATCAGCAGGGGAGTTGGTGAATCAGGGGACATCAAGAACACAAGCAGCCGTACATCGCAGCCGTCTTCGAGAACACAAGCATCATACATCGCTTCCCGCATTGAAGTTTATGGTGGAAATTTGTGCAAATTACGATGGTGTTTCGATGAGAGGTGAGGGGTATTTCGATGACTCGTAATGGCTGTTGCACTGATTTGTATCTTAAGCTCGCTTGCGTTCCGAAGCTTGGAGGAATCTTGGGGCCCTCTTGGGATTCTGGGCCCCTCTTGGGGCCTCCTGGGGCTGTTTCTTGGGGCTCTCCTGAGGTCCTCTTAGGGCCTTGGGGCTTCTTGGGGCTCTTTTGGGGTCTTTTTGGAGCCCTCTTGGGGCTCTTTTGGATGGTCTTGGAACCCTCTTGGGGTTCTTTGGGGGGGTTTTGGGAGGCCTCTCGGGGCCGTCTTGGTCCTCATGGCTAAAGAAGGGAGGGGGGGGGCAATTCTTGCCCCCCCCTCGGAGGCTCAAAAATGCCGTCTTGGGACCCTCTTGGCTCGCTCTTGGGGCGCTGTTGGGCGCTCATGGGGCCGTCTTGGGGCTCTCTTGGGCCCGTCTTGGGGCTGTCTTGGGCCATCTTGGGGCCATCTTGAGGCCTCAAGAGCCCTTCGGAGGTTGAAGGATTTTGGCCTCTTGGGGGGGTCCTTGGAAGCCTCGGAGGGCACTTGGAACCGTCTTGGGGCCGTCTTGAGGCCTCTTGGACGCGTGCCGGAGGCTATCTTGACCCGTCTACCGCTACCTTGGGCCATGTTGGTGCCATCTTGCGTTTTCGGAGGCCCTCTTGGAGCCATCTTGGGCCATCTTGGGCGCTGCTATGGGTCCGTCCCCCCCGTCCAAACGCAGGGAGGGGGGGGAGGTAAACCTCCCGAGCAGGGAAAGGCAGGAGGTTGGAAAGGGAAACGCCCTAGACCACCTGCGCCCAGAGGGCTGGTGGGATTCTAGCACTGTTATGATGCTGCCACTGACGCTGATATGAATGCCAACACTCATTCTGATGCCCAATACGCGTCTGAGTATGACTATTGCTTGCTGTGCACAATCATACGAAGACCAGCAGTAGGAAACATTTTGGTACGTATGCTAATCTTGCCACTTTTCCGACTACTGATACGACTACCAATGCAATTGGAGTCCACGGGGGGCCACAGGAGGCCACGACGCCTGACCGATGCCAGCCTCGGCAACGCACGGGAAGCAACAGGAGGCCATGGGA